CATAAACCTCGATAACTCGAATTTGTTTTGAAAAGTTTTTGTCTAATTTGAAAGGACTCATTTAGAAGTCAAAACAAAGCTTGAGTTAAATTTTTAAGTAGTTTCAAGATGATTTATAAACGTTATTGGATTCATTATATAAAAAACTGCACTCTGAAGTTATGGAGATTAAACCAAAAGTCATAAGCATAATTAGCACCTTGTTTAATTATATGGCGTGTTCAAATGCAGTGATGTCTTCAATGAAAACTTGAATGTTGCTTCATATTTTACCACTGCTGCTAGCATGCGATGTATAAAGCAATATGCATTTTTACTGTGTTTAATAAACCTTACCCGTGATATCACATGTCATACGTGATATTATGTTATTTTAATCCTTGAACTGTAAGAAGATATAACGTATGGTTGTCAGCAAGTGAAAAAAAAGGCCAAAATGGCAACATCATGGCGATGTCAAACTCAAACAAGTGCAGAGATTTTAATATCTGGGAAACGGTTTTAACATAAGATGAAAAATATATACCTAGGTAATCATTTGCAATATGGAATCAACGAAGCCAATTATAGTCGTGCTACAGTCTTTCTTTAGGAAAGACATATTTGATGGACAAATACATACACGGACATAGACACACACGCACACATATTCATGGATCCATTTTCAACATTATTTATTATAATAATTTTAATGATGGATTTTGTATTTCCTCTGTGGTGTTTTGATTTAATTTTGTATGTTTGGACTGGTCAGAAATGATGTTTTTATTTTCTTGTAGTCGAGTTTTTAGACATGTCGGCAAAGCCAATATGTACGAAATTCTATGTAATGGTCTATAATTTCTTGATATATAATTTATATATATATATATATATATTATATATTTATATATATATATATATATATATATATATATATATATATATATATATATATATATATATATATTTATATTACATGAATCATTCATACATGATTGATTTTCTGCATGAATGATTCATGTAATATAAATTGCATCACATATTTGATTTAAAAAGAACTGATCCGACGTGCAACTTTCAGGATAATAGCTGCGACATTGCTCTATTGAACAATTTAGTTCATGCCACATCGATTGAAAAAAACTACTACAACAAAAGAATTCTCCAATTAGCATATTAGTAAAAAAAAAACGCACTCTCTTTTAAATTTTCAAAAAATTCAACCTTAGCGTTACGACCGCACATCCAAAAATTTCTTACAGTTAACAATAACACATTTCTAAAAAAGATATTTCGATTCACATCTAATCTTTTGTGTTCTGTTATTACCTGGATGTATTAAAAAAAAACAAACAAATCAATGTCCATGTCTGATGATGTCTATATGAACAGATGAAAGTACTAGCAAAAAAAGACCTTATACAAGTTGAATTTATTAAAAACAGGGATCATAATATTCATCTATAGGTTCGTGTGTTAATGTAATTTTAATAAATTTGTTTGCGAAGATGTATTCTCGCCATTTATATCATTAACTTCACTGATCTGGTTTTTGTATGAATGATTCATGTAATATAAATTGAACTGCACCACATATTTGATATATATATATATATATATATATATATATATATAATATATCTTTATTATATTATATATATTTATTATATATATATTTATTATATATATATATTATATATTTATTATATATATATTTATTATATATATTATATATATATATTATATATTTATTATATATATATTTATATATATTATATATATATATATATATATATATATATATATATATATATATATATATATATATATATATAATTCTTGTTGTTTAATTAGAATAATATATGTATTGGCATTTTTGGCCTGTCGCAAAAAACACATTTTTCAAAATGGGAGTTGGTTTCTTTTGGATGCTTTGAGTTCTACATTTCCTTTTCACCTTTGTCGAAAGAAATGTGTCGGTGTGCCGACAGTGTGGAATAATTTAATTCCTTTTGTTTTTTAATCTTTTTTTTTTTTTTTTTTAAAGCATTACGCCCCGAGCAAGGCGTGAAGCCACTAGGATGCAGAAGATTTGGAGCAAGAGCAGATAGGAGTGATAGAAGAAAGGATGAGGAGAGTGATATTGGATAGATCAGGGTAACTGGAGATGTCGATTGACATCTATCTACGTTCTTGAATTTCCCGATTTTCAGCTTCTCTTCCATGCATAGTAGTAGAATGAATCACATATATATATATATATATATATATATATATATATATATATATATTAAAAGGCGGGGAAATTAAAGGAAAGGGAAAAAAAAAACTTATGAGTACTAAATATTTTCTAGGTTAAGCAGTAATCCCTCTGAATAGGACCAACTTGAATTTTATCTCTCTCTGTCTACGCAGAGCAGGACTTTGCATATTAATAATAATAGACTACAAGATATCTAAATGGAGCCTCGTCCTAGACAGAAAAGAAATCGGTAGAATAATTCATCCTGCAATCGACAGAATTTAAAAGGTGTTCACCAATTGCTGAAACCCGGATGTAATTGGTTCGTGCCTACGCATTTTACACGGAACATGCCTGGCGATCCTCACCTCTAACCGTTGGATGGTCTTGACACACACTGACATTTGTTGAATGGTAGGCAAGACATCCTTACAGTGAGGGTGGAAAGGCTTTTTTGTACTGAAAATATTTCGAATAGTAACAGCATTGAAACACCGTTTGATTGGATATATATATATATGAAAAATGATATAGAAATATTATATCGACTGTTTGCAGCTAGGAAAGATGGCGCATTGTGTGTGGCTAGGCAATTTTTCTCGCCAGAATCTATGTTACATATTTATGAGTCTAGCATTCGTCCTTGATTTGAATATTGTTCCCACATATGGTCTGGTACTCCTGCCGTATATTTAAAGATTCGTGATATAATCGAAAGTAGAATCTGCAATATTAATGGTCCTGACCTGGTGCCACGGTTTCTGTCATTTTCCCACCGATGTAACGTAGCATTCCTCTGCCTTTTCTACAAATACTTTCATGGGAATTGGTCGGATGAACTTCTCCCTATGGTACCTAAACATTATGAATTTAATCAGTGCTAGATTAGTCTCATCATTTTCTTATTGAAATGGCTAAATGCAACCGCAACTTCTATGCTAACAGTTTCTTCTATCGCACTTCTCGCTTGTGGAATTCTTTTCAGGCTTCTAGCTTCACAGTCAAAAATTCTTTAAAAATTTAAATACAATGTCAATCCATATTTTCTGTATCCTTAATTCTTGTTCTTTTATTGTTCTCTCACCTTAGTAGTGTTTATTTTTATCATATTCTGTAACACTCAGTAATCACTTGTGTCTTAGTGGTTTTATTGCTTTACTGGGGTAAAAAGATTTATATATGATATATATATATATATATATATATATATATATATATATATATATATATATATATATATATGATATGTTCGGAAAGGGATATATTTGAAACGAAGTAGCTGAGTGGTTTTGGCTACTATAACCAAGTAGAATACGGTAGCAGTAATCGACTGGTATGTGTCGTAGTCGCAGGTAAGAAGTGTAGATCAATGGTGTAGTCCAATGGGCGTCGTTATAGACTTAGTTCTCAGACTAAGGCTCTTGATTCTCTGTCGTACCTACACGTCCGTAGGTATTTATGACGGACACCAGCCAATCATATTCCAGTGAGGGGGAACACAGGGTATGCATATTCCATTATATCAATATATATATATATATATATATATATATATATGAACTTTCATTGACAAAATCTTAGAGAATTACTGTGAGTGGTTTACACACACACACACACACACACACACACACACACACACACACACACACACACACACACACACATACACACACACACACACACACACACACACACACACACACACACACACACACATACACACACACACACACACACAAACACACACACACATATATACACACAAATGTGAGAATGAAAAAATGCAGTAAAATTCCCCTGTTCGTAGTATTTGGGGAAATTTTCTTAAAAATCATTTAATCACCACCAGTAACTTGCCATCGCCGGAAGAGGCACAACACAGGGCCGAAAAACGAAAGCTATTGTGAAGCCATTTCAACATGTTTTTGTTCTAATATCTTATATATATATATATATATATATATATATATATATATATATATATATATATATATGCGCACACATAGATATTTGTATGTGGCAAATGTGTGAGAGAACTTGGAGGTGCGGTGGAGTAATGGATAGCGGCTAGGTGAGGCGAGTTAGAATTCCAGTCAGATCCCTTGCGTTCACTTACGTACTAATACCCTTGAGAAAGGTATGAATCCTCTTCTTCTCCTCCCAGCTATGGGTAAATAATAGGTCAGACTGGGCTCTAGACTTGAGTGGCAACCAGTATAGGAAAAGGAAAATTCGGGATTCAAAACCAGCCTGGAGAGGATTGGGCTCCGTTAGGCTATCTTGCCCAAGAAACACAACTTCTACTGCGGCTGTAGTAAACATGGAGCCCTTACGACACTACGAGTCACGGGATTAAAAATGTGAGAAAGCGAGAGATCGTGATGAATGTAAAAGAATGCAAAGAGATAAAGACAGAGGTATAGGTGAAGTTTGACAATAAGAAGTGATAGTAAAAAAAAACCAAACCAAAAATGGCAGATCGAAGAGGAAAAAAAGAGGGTGAAAGAGAGAATTAAAGGGGGAATTAAAGTCACATATTTGGGATGTTGAACTATTTCTTTTTTGTTCGGAAGCAGTCTTTCGTAAAAGTGGAATGTATTTCGGAATTAAGATAAAGATGAGAGGAAAATAGACTTTACGAAGTGTTGTTTCAGAAATGAGAAAAATGCAAAGATCTGCACTCAACTTTGGGAAATCAATTTACATTCGCATATGGAGTTCCTGCAACAATCTCTTCCAGTATATTGAAATAACACGCACCAAGTTAAAGCAGTCAATGCAGAGTGATCTATCTATCTATCTATCTATCTATCTATCTATCTATCTATCTATCTATCTATCTATCAGAATCTATTCATATCATATCTGCAATAACCACTTCCAATGTACTGAAATAAATGCAGGAATTTCTCTATCCCTCAATCTAGATTTACTTCTTTCTCTCTTTTCTCTTTTTTTCTTAGCCCCAATCATCTATCTATCTATCTATCTTCATCTTCTATCTATCTCTCAATCTTATTAGGATCTCATCTCAATCTATTTATCTCATTTTTTAGATCAGGAGATTCACACTTCATTCTCTATCTCTCAATCTAGGTATCTCAGTTTAGTCAAAGCTTCTTTCTTTCTTTCTTTCTTTCTTTTCCAGTTTTTTAATCTATCTATCTATCTATCTATCTATCTATCTATCTATCTATCTATCTATCTATCACATCTGGATCAATCTCTTCCAATGTACTGAAATAAACGCACGAATTTAAAGAAAGTGCAGCTTTATCTTACTTCCCCTCTCCCTCCCTCTCCCTCTCTAGCTATTTATCGAGATCAGTCCATTTACATCACTCTTTTTCTTATTCTCTTTTTCTCTCTTTCTCTTTTTCTCTCTTTCTCTCTTTCTCTTTTTATCTCTTTCTGTCTGTCCGTCTGTCTATCTAGATATCTATCTATTTATCTATCTATTCACATCTCTCTCTCTCACTCCTCATCTGTTCGTATCTTTCTATAAATCTGTTCTGAATCTAATTCTGATCTAACTTTTGTGCAAATCTCGTAAATATGACAAGACCGGCATATGCACGCCATTATGGACAATCTATTGATTACCTGATGTCGTAAATGTGTGGCCATTTTCTCCATCTCTTACGCCAGTCACACACGCACCGGTCTGGTCGCAATTCTCTCCGGCTATATTTTCGTCTAAATGCTACTGAAGTGGTCATCAGCGAAGCAAAGAGAAATGTGAAGTCGTGCATCGGTTTCCAATTCAAAACACAAGGGAAAATCAATTACATATTAAAGGTTGTATATATATATCTGTCCCGGAGATAATCTAGAGGTTTATATTTCTTCCCATCGCTTGTAGTCAATGTTCGAACCGTATGAGAAGACGAGATTCTAGTGTTGGGTTTCCAAAGTAACTGTACAGTTAACGCTATTTAGACACTTACTAAGCTGGAGATAAACGGTTTAATAAGTTTGGTAAAAGGTCACCAATTTAGAGCGTTAATTAAGATCGCACTGACTGCAATAGTACTGTGTTAGATGAGCTTGCTAACTATTGTTAGACAACAGTTTTCTTTAATTATATAGGTCCGGCTTAAGTAATGCAGGGCATATAAGACATTCAGGTAAATGTTAACACTACTTACAAAAGTTAACTATACTTATATGTCTGACATGAGCCAACTAATAAAAAACACAAAGATCATTCGAATAAATGTTAACCCTAACCCATTTACGAGTACCTTATATTTAGAGGGTACTCTTGTAAATCCTTGCACTTTAACAGGAATATGTTTATTTCTGGAAATCTGTTGAAGATCTTGGATTATATAAATTGAGGATATGCGTGGTGTAATGATTATCGACGTCTAAAGTGGAATAGGCGATCTGAATTTAAATTCCAGGATAGTCTGTTGGGTACACTTTTGGACAAATGCCCGTGGGGAAGACTTGAATCTGTCTCTCTTTCGTCTCCTCCCAATAGGACTCAATAGTAGGGTAGACTGGGCTACCTAGCCTTGAATGGTAACTAATCTTAGAAAACGGAAACTCTGAATTTAAAACCGTGGTGAAGGCAACGGAAAAAAACACCCAATTATGTCCCCCCACAAAAAAAAAAAAATTCAGAGGATTGAAAGAAAAGGAAGATATGGAGAGTCATGATCGCCTACAACCTGAAGAGACACAGGATTATAAAGAATATCAGTTGAACAACAAAGTTTGTGATTTTTTGACGTTTACTGTTTTTTTTTTACCACTTATCTTTTATTCTTGCTATAAAATCCGTTAAATTACATTACCCCGGTAATTTATAAAAAATATCGTATTAATTATAGATGCCTAAACATCCGGTATTCATTGTAGTGAATTCAATCCTCAGTTATACGACATGAAGTTAAGATCGTTCAAATCTGACTGGATACTGCACATTTGTGACCTTATCATTGTCTAACCTAAGCTTAGAAAATAGGTATTTTAACTTTAGTGTGCATCTGTGTGTGGGCGTTTGACCTGTTTTGATTAGTTTCCGACCAAAGAGTAAAGTTGGCCAACTGGTTAAAAATAAAAATTGGTGCTGTTGTTCTTTGTTGCATGTTGGCATTAGATAAAGAGATTTCATGATGGGTGCATTCTGCTGGAGGATTTACCTTTCTTATACCATTTTTGGATTCTGTGTTTCCATTCAGTATATTCCTTGCTCTTTAAAAAAGTTTTAGTTTTTTCTCCTGAAGAGTAACATTAAAAATGAGTTCTAGTTTTATTTTACAACTTTT